TCAACCAAATAATCTACAAATTTTAAATAAACATAATTATAAATTAATATAACAGTATTATATAACAGTAATATATTAGTTTAATATATAAGGAGAAACCAAAAAACGGATCACGGGGTTTTTGCTCGGCATTTCTATGTTTTTTGAGGTAAATCAATTTTGTAAAGAACATTTTAAACTTTCATTTAATTGTGTTCTTTTGAAATACTAAACACCCTGGTGACTCAAGTATTTCAATAAAATTTTTGGACCAACGCGAATGTCATTGCATTTAAGCTACGATTTTTAGTTTTGAAATGGTAATCAAGAATTTGAAAATCAAGAAGTTCTATGGAAATATCAATGGGAAAATTTTCAATAAATAATTACTAGCAATAAAATGGTAGCTAGGTAAAAGTGTTCCATAACTCAAAGAGGGAGAATTTAAATATCTTTCAAACGGTGTATCATTCGTCAAGGTCGGAATTGTATTTCTTGATTTATTGTTAAATATATTAAATTTATATGAATCACATTTACATAAATGGATTCAATGGCATAAATCGACATTTATATAAATCGTAGCAAGGTAGTTTATAGCTTAAATGAAAGCTTTTATTGAAATTCCTGAGTTACCAGGGTGGTTAGTATGTCAAAAGAACACAATTAAATAAAAGTTAAAAATGCTTTTTACAAAATTGATTTACCTCAAGAAACATAGAAATGTGAGCAAAAACCCCGTGATCCTTTTTTGGTTTCTCCTTATATTATAATTAAGCACATTCTTTATATCTTTGAAATTGGTTAAGCATTTTATTCAATTGGCACTCGTAGGTTAATATTCACATTATATATACCTCGGTCCTTTTTTGCTAAACAGCATATTGTTATTTCAAAAAATGTATATTGATATTTTTGATGGTACAGTAATTTTCTACATAATATTACTAACAATTTCCAATAATAAAAGAATCCAAATAGCCATAATTAGTATTTTATATTTAACAATAATTAGCATCGGATATAAGAATTTTCCTATATTTTAACATTATATTATGACATACACTTAATAAAGTTTTCAATTCATAATCACAGTGATTAATTTGTATGATATATAATATAACGTTAAAATATAGGAAAATTCTGATATCCGATGCTATTATCAGGATATTTGTAAGATTTATAATATTATTTATTAATGTCATATTTAAATAGTGTTTATTTGTTAATTAAGTTTTATTAATTCTAATAAATTACTTTTAATATTTTCTGATATTTTAATAATGTGATATAAAGTAAACCAATGATGCATATAATCTATTGGGGAATAATACAAAATAAAATTACTAAATGATTACTTATTATAAGTTGTCACCCAGCTCATACTTTGTATCCCTGAAATCTATTAATACGGAATAATTTCCAACAATAAAATCCATCCCTTTTCTGACCCAACCTTTCCATCAATGATAGTAACTATTGGTTTCAATGAAAATATTAATAATTTAAAATATAATGTTTAATTATTTTATGTTTAATTTGTGTTGAATTGAATACCGATTAGAAATATATCTCGAGTTTAATAAAGCATACGATTTAATAAAATGTTTATTAAGTAACGATGAATAGTGTATAATAAATAACAGGGACATAAATAACTCAACACCAATAATAATTAGAATAATGAGAAAAGTAAAATGTAGTTGATCTGGTTTGTTAATTGTTATAAATCGCGCTTAGTGTAAAACTAATTAATATCCAATAAATTACCAAAAATTTTGACCAATAAATCTTATTATAATTATTAATGTCCAGAAATATATGATTGAAATTAACAATAATTTTTACAATATTTTTGTTTAAATTTTGTTTGAAAACTTTTAATTTATTGGTAGTTACCTGAACCTTTAATGATAAATAATATACAATTATAGTATAATAGCACAATTGCCAAAGTATTATATTATTTGAATAAATTGCTGCCAATCCCCATAGGATTGAATGTGGAAATGCTATGAATATTATCTCATAAACAGATAAGTTAAATGAAAATGTTAATAATATACCAATGAATATAAAATATGGAAAATATTTATTTATCTTTTCCGTAAATATTAATAATTCTCGTGAAAACCTTAATAATTTAATAACAATTTGTTTGTCATGAATCCCAATACTAATGGGTGTTATTAAACCCGAAAGCATCCAAAATACATACAAATCCCGCGGTTTTATACCTTTCCTGTAGTTATAGTAATTGAGTAGTTGTGAGAAAATTATTATTTGTATTGTATTTAATGTCACAGGTTCACTAGCAATTCGATAACCAACAAAATATGGTAATTCTCCAACTAATATATAAAAATATATAAAAATATAAATAAATAGTATAAATATATAAATATAAATAGTACTTATATAAAAATAAGTACTTTGTTCTGAAGTTATAAATAATATAATTTCTCGGATATAAAACATTAAGAAAAATGTGAAAACAAAATACGGATTATAAATGAGTGAACGGTTTGTGGCATTCAATGGCTTATAGAGTGAGAGACCACTACTGTAGAGAGGGGAACCGGCCCTCACAATTACCACTGACCCTGGCAACATTTTGTGGCATTTAATTGTAATTTCGAGATTAATTTTCACGATTAAAACTTTAATAAAAAAATAACTTTTACTAAATATTTAACATATATTTAATAATTTAGTTATTATATTTATATTGATTTCCAATAAACATCAGATATAGTATTAGTTGAAAAAACTATTTGAATTTAGTACTACTATACAAATATTTAATAATCATTTCTACACTCACTTTATAATCAGTTTTAATTTTTATAAAAATTTACTTTTATTTAAAATGCTCTACATAATATTTTTCAACATTTCACCAGGCATTAAATTAATTTTTATAAAATAAGTTGATAATATATTTATTTATATTACATAATCAGTTTTAATTTTTATAAAAATTTACTTTTATTTAAAATGCTCTACATAATATTTTTCAACATTTCACCAGGCATTAAATTAATTTTTATAAAATAAGTTGATAATATATTTATTTATATTACATTCTATAATTAAGTTCAGTAATTTAGCATTATTAAATGTAATAAAATAATATAATTTAGTAAAATAACTGGACCCGATAATTACAGTACCCAATAAAATTTTAAGTAATTAAAAGACATATTATATTTAGATTTTAGTTTCAATTTACTGTTTACTTAATAAAATAATTAATGTGATTGAAGATCTTAACCATAGTGGGAGCCGCCCCGTTTACAAATAATTGCAAAAAAGCCAACTATACAGTTTAATGACCTTTGGTAGTCTACCTACTACTGCACACTATTACCTTTTATCCAAAATTTTCATTCAGCCCTAAAGCATACGTCCTTCCNTAAAAGGTAATAGTGTGCAGTAGTAGGTAGACTACCAAAGGTCATTAAACTGTATAGTTGGCTTTTTTGCAATTATTTGTAAACGGGGCGGCTCCCACTATGATCTTAACCAAATATTAGATTAATTAATGGACATAATATAAGTAAACCATATTTTTAAATTTACAGCTCATTTAATTAATATTTAAAACTTACTGTCAATTATATCAAATGCTCAAAGTAGTAACCAGATTATTTAATATTTTTGTGAGCCTAATAATGGTATAATGCTTTTATAATAATTGACAAAACAGTTTTATAAAATCATAATTAAATAATCGGAAGGAAATGGATGTTGTCATTGATATGTATGGTCTTAATTTTGGGACATATTTTAATCACATTTTTGATATCCGTGTCGTTATAATCTTTTTTTCTAGCATTAATTCTAACGAACAGAATATTCTTGAGTTTTGCCACAGAATTCAATACAAACTCATTGACACTCTTAACGTCTTTAAGCCATAAGTGCTGAACGTTTGGCAAACATTTCGCGATATTTGCGAAAAACTGCTCATTAATAGTGAGACGAGTCGTTAAATGTGTTAATCGTTTGCATGATTTAAATGAATCGCCGGGTATTTCATAATCATTGTCCAGCACTGAACTCCTGATTTTTAAATGTTTCACATTTTGAAAATATTTATTAATACACTGTACTAATAGTGAACATTCAGTTGGTTTCAAACACTTGTTAGGGTAATGTGAGCCCCGGTATGCAAAATATGCCAGTGATAGCCGTTTCAAATATTTCAAATTACGTCCTATTTGTGTCAATCCAGTGATTTGGTTAGGAAACCAATCCCCATACCATTCCCCGTTGAATTCAATGTTTAGTTCCCTTAATTCAGTCATTTGTGATAAACCTGGTAATTTTTGCATAAAATTATATATATGTGTAAGCCTAAAACAAATTAAAGCTTTTTGCCATGTAGCGTTTACTGTATATGAAATATATATTAAACTTCTATCATACTTTTATTAAACTTATTCATTATAAAAGTATGATAGAAGTTTAATAAATATTTCATATACAGTAAATGCTACATGGCAAAAAGCTTTAATTTGTTTTAGGCTTACACATATATTAATATAATTACCCGTATTTTTGCTATATATAAAAATATTGCTTCAAATTGGTTTTAACTATTGGCTTAAAATTATTTCATATTAAAATAACCCGGGATTATTATTTCATTAAATAATCATGAAGTTTACTATCATAACTATAAGTATAGATATTGATTAAAATTAAGTGATTAATTGTTAAATTGATAGAAAATGGATAAAAATCACTTTCCGAGAAAATCATTTCATAAAAATACAGTAATTTATACTAATACAGGTATACTGTCTACTAAAACAATAGTACCAGTATTACTGTACAGGGACGGTTATACCTATGAAGGCAAAATTGTTATGCAATTGTTTTTCACAATAAAGATTTTTATAGCAGTATTATACAATATAGCATACAATAAATTATAAAATTCAATGTAATGCAAGATTTCAAATATAATGAACAAAAGACTTATGGCTTTAAAATAATTTTATTGAACAAAATAAATGCACATTTTATGGACAATTATCTCAGCCTTAGGCGTGAGTACAGACACCGATGGTCTCATCAAATACCGTTCCGGTACCGCACTGTCTCTGGACTTTCTGGAAACTACCGTTTCCTAAGGCGAGGCACTGGTAATAAATGGTCGGGTCGTTGGGGTCGACAAATGAACCGGCAGTTTTACACTCAAACTGGCCTGGATCGGGTCCGGGGCCTGGTCCTTGGGTTGGGTCGGGGTTGGGGGGCTGGTAACTCGACCCCAAATCGTTATTGACTTGTGTCAACAGTGGGAACCGGCCATCACCGCAATGACCGGCAAAGTCATCAGTATCTATGGACCAAATACAGACCCCTCCCAGTCCTCGACTCTTAAGGAAAGCCACTTTCTCGCTCAGACTAGTCCTGTCGTCATAACCGATCCATTGGTTGCCTTTGACGGCATACGGGATCTTTTGGGTGGCGTCCCGATAGACAGTCCACTGTCCGGTCTTTAGGTTATCGCAAATCTATTTGACACAAGTTTTTCAATTCTTGAGACCATTCTGTAGTCACTCGAGACTTCAAATGCAATCAATCCTACAAACCTCCAAATAGCCCAAAATGCCCACTTGTCTGGTGTAGGGGCCCTCATCACCACCCTTTCCCTCAGCCGGTGCCTGCAAACCGTGTTCACTGGGATTCACCAGTTTGAATGAACGGCCGTATAGTGGGAGACCCATTACCTGTGTACAACATTTTTGATATTATAATTTACAATTAGAATTACTTATATTTAATTACTTGGTCATATAACTAATAGTAAATATTGCATAGTAAAATAAATAGCTAAACTAGTTTTACTGTATAAGTATGATTTCGCACACAACTAATCTTTGCGAAATGAATTTAAGTAACTTTTTTATAGTCCTTTGAAATACTTTATGGAGAGTAATCAAATGATAGACCCTGAGCACTAAATTTAAGCTTCTAGCGAATTATGAGAATTATCTACTTTATGACTAAAATGTTGAATGACTTACAAGTTTGTTAGCATCAACACCGAGGCCAAGCCAATAGTCGACGGCATAGGAAACTGTAAACTGCGTGTCCTGTTCATTGGCATTGGCCCAGGGGTATAATGGTGCATTATGGGCTGTGTAAACGTGGAGTACACTGTCATTATTACATACCGTACATACAGTAATAGTTGTTTGACCAAAGACATACCTGTCCTCGAATCCCAACCACCATTGAAGTCATAGGTCATAAGGTTGATGAAGTCAAACAATTGGCTCAATTCCTTGACATTGTAGGCGTCGTCTATAGTCGGCCGGCCGGCAGACACGGCCGCAGCCAACAGATAGCCGAGAGGTTTGAGGGCAGCGCTCAACTCACGTATGAGTGCTGAGAAATTTTCCTTGTCAGCCTTGTTACCCGGTACACGGTCCGCATCAGCCACCGCTGCCCTACCAGGGTACTCCCTTTGGGCGAGAAAATATAATCAATTATTTTGAATTATTTTAAGTTTTTCCCTTAAATAGATAGACAAATGGTTTTGGGTTTAATGGAGTGATTAGATATGAAATATGAGTGATTATTGAGGGGAAAGGGTGTGTATGACATACCAGTCCACATCCAAACCATCGAACTTGTGTTCCTTAAGGAAGTCAACGCACGACTGGACGAACACCGCTCGGGAGGACGGGTTGGACGCCATCACT